GTCGCCCGTACCTTCTTGGAAACTTTGTACTGCTACAGGATTGGGTGCCACCACATGGAATCGAAGGGCGTTGGAAAACTCTCGCCTACTTGGAATGGAAGGGCGTTGAGTACCTGAAGAAGACGGAATATCTAAGTGTGTCACCTGACCTAAACCCCTCAATTACCTGGTTCGGGCGGAGCTCAACAGGGTGGTCTACAGTGGCGGAGAAATCAACGATCTCGCTGAACTCAGGCACCGAATCACGGTCGCGTGGCAGAATCTCTCGATGGCGTTCGTCCAGAAGGCTGTGGCGGAGCGTCATGATAGCGTGCAATGAGCTGTTGAATATGGTGGTGGAAATGCCCGATCAGAACTTGATAAAGTGTGAGCTACATCGCTTTGAAGGTCTAGGAAGAAAAGTGTCTTTTTTTGCCCCTCCGATGGGGCACGATGCGATGGGCAGGGTACAGCATGGGGATGTGCGAAATGGCGGTGTGAGTACGACCCCCCCTCGAAGAGGGTCCAGTTACGACCCCCTGCTCTAACTGACAACCAGATGCATGTTCACACGAAATGGCTTCCTGAAATGGAATCTGGATTTCGAAAGGCGGACTCTGCTCTAAAATCCAGGCAATAAGAGGCTGTTTCAGCCTCATGCAATATGAGGCTGAACAACAGCCTCGCATTACCTACAATTTTGTCTTAGGATTCAAAATAAAACTCGTCGTTCGACAACCACGTATGACAAAAAAATATATGTATGAAAAATGCAACTTGTAACAAGGAACACAATCGAAACAGCGACTAATGGTGATCATTAATGAGCTAAATGGTGAAAAAATAGCCCCAAGGTCAGTGTGTCAGGCCCCAGATGTGCATTCAATGAATGGTGACGGGGAAATCATGAAAACATGCACGACACAACAAAGCGAAACATGAACAACACAAAAAATGCGGAATCGAATGAAAAAATGGACCAGGCGGCATATCGTTCTATACTCGGCTATTATCGATCGCAACGTTGCGACCGCTTTCATTGGAAAATCGTCATTGGAGCGCGGTTGTTGGACCTATCAGCGTCCTGGGGTCTTTTCAGGAGGTTATATCTCTTTTAGGTGCGGGGCTTTTGAGGAATGGTTAGCAGCATGCTATGGAAAAGTTACTACTGTTGCGTTTTCTACCTAGTTGCAATCTGAATGTTCCCCCGTTGGTGAAATATTCCGGATGGGTTTCGGATCGGCTAGGGGTAAATCGCAAGCGGGTTTTTATGCTTCACACAAGGATTGCTTATTTCGAACGCAATTTCATCAGGATTAGAAATCGTCTTGAAACCGCCCTATCTTTTCTCTTTCCAATAAGCTTTACAGTTTTCCTGAAGACCCGCTAGTTCAGGAGATATTTTAGATGGGTCACAGACGCGCTACCCTCTGACCCACCCGAAAAATCGACTCCTTCTGTGCCATTGTGAGGATACACCTTCGGAAACTTCATGTGCTCCAAAACACATATTTCCCTTCAAATGAGTGAAAGAGGAGCTCGGCTATCACTGATCGATTTGGTCCGAGTGTGCGCCGTGCATTACGCTCCTACGCAGAGGGATAAAGGTGTAACTGCCGTACAGGATTGGGTGCCACCACATGGAATCGAAGGGCGCTGGAGAACTTTCGCCTACTTGGAATGGAACGGCGTTGAGTATCTGCGGAAGACGGAATTTCTAAGTGTGTCACCTGACCTGAACCCCCTCAATTACCGGGTTCTGTAGGAGCTCAACAGGATGGTCTACAGTGGCGGAGAAATCAACAACCTCGCTGAACTCAGGCACCGGATCACGGTTGCGTGGGAGAATCTCTCGATGATGTTTGTCTAGGAGGCTGTGGCGGAGCGTCATGATAGCGTGCAATGAGTCTGATTGAATATCGTGCGTGGAAATGCCCTATCAGAAACTTGATAAATTGCTGACTTGCATCGCCTTGAAGGTCTAGGAAGAAAAGTGTCTTTTTTGCCCCTCCCCCTGTATACATGCCGATTTCCCAATTTCTGCTACTGTAGGCTCTATCCCTCGCGATCGCCTACTCTTGCCCCATCTCTAAGCGTTTCTGCGTTACTGCATCCCTATTCTCCACATGCTCTGATGCTGAGGATTAGCAGCAGGGTGCTTTCTGTTTTCTGTTTCGATTTCGTACGCCACATTTTAGGAAATTGACTACTTGCGGGATAACCAATGCACCGAATTTTCGATCCCGTCCTATAAAGCGAAGGTACTCAATGGGTTGTGGGAGCATCCCATTGCGCCTTCTACTATATACCATGCTTAGCCACCGATTTTTCCGTGAGCAAGCTTTTTCAATAAACTCCCAATCGAGTTGAATAGGGCATTCGATGCGATGCTTGTCTGTCAGGTCAAAATCGGAATCTCCATTTGTTTAAACCTTCATGCGCCTTCCTTAGTAATACGTTCTTGAATTTTCAAAAGGCAGTTGGCACGCTAAGTCCCTAAGCCGAGTAGGTTTATACGCCTGACAGGACAAACAAACGAGCCCTGAGCAGACGCTGTGTAGCGCCTTTCCCAATGGAGGTACCCTTATAGCGCTCTATCAAGCTGCAACATACCGACCCGGACGCCCACCACGCACGCCGGCTCACCAGTAACCGATCGTCCGTACTTTATGCTCGTATTGCTTCATTCGCGAAGTAAAATATGAAGCGATGGGAAGGGTACACCATGGGGATGTCCGAAAATCGCGGTCGTGCAGTACGACCCCCCCCCCCCTCGATAGGGATACAGTTACGATCCGCCCCCCCCCCTCCTTGCTCTTAACTGTCCACCAGATGTATATATGTTCATCGAAACGGCTTCGAAATGGAATCTAATTCTTGAAGGGCGGATTCTGTCTAACAATACATCGCGAATAGAGGCTGTTTCAGCCTCATGCAATATGAGACTGAACAACAGCCTCGCATTTCCTACAATTTTGTCTTAGGATTCAAAATAAAACTCGTCGTTCGACAACCACGTATGACAAAAAATATATGTATGAAAAATGCAACTTGTAACAAGGAACACAATCGAAACAGCGACTAATGGTGATCATTAATGAGCTAAACTGGTGAAAAAATTAGCCCCAAGGTCAGCGTGTCAGGCCCCAGATGTGCATTCAATGAATGGTGACGGGGAAATCATGAAAACATGCACGACACAACAAAGCGAAACATGAAAAATACAAAAAAATGCGGAATCCAAATGAAAAAAATGGACCAGGCGGCAGTATATCGTTCTATACTCGGCTATTATCGATCGCAACGTTGCGACCGCTTTTATTGGAAAATCGTCATTGGAGCGCGGTTGCTGGACTTATCAGCATCCTGGGGTCCCTTTATGAGGTGATATCTCTTTTAGATGCGAGGCTTTTGAGAAATGGTTAGCAGCATGCTATGGAAGAGCTACTATTGTCTCCATGTTCGCCTTTCTTGCAACCTGGGCATTTTTATAGACTCAATGTTTCTTTACTATGCCGTACAGGTTTTTATGGTGGAAGTGTTTATTTTGCCTGACGTTTCGACAGTATCGTCGTTATCAAAGGCCTGAAAGCATATCGAAACTCAGGAAAGCTATCGATCCTGTTCAACCTGAACCTGTTCTTGACTAGTTGCAACCCAGACCAAGAAGCTACCAACGAAAGGAAACTCCAAAACTTCAGGTTACCTTTCCACTCCCACCAGCACAAACGATCTGCTCGATTTCGACACAATGTGGAGCAAGTGAGACCGACCGAGCACTGCTACAGGATGATAGTATGCACGTGCAATGCATCATGTTCTCACTGTTAGAGCTCACACAGTGGATATAGGGCAAGAAATCGGCCGTTATTGAGATGCACTCATTCCTGTTATTCATACATGGATTACGGTGCCTTAATCCAGAACGCCTCAAGGGTTTTCCGGGCACCAACATCGTTTTCGTAGGC